AGCGATTTAATATGTTAGCTAAAAGCAACCGTTTGAAGTTAAAATGTCTTAATGATGAATTTGTTTTTAACAAATACACAGTTTTTCCCTTCACAAGACATTAATCAATGGACTGGAGTGGTGTGGATTAATTGTGGATTATTGTGATGTTTTTATCAGCTGTTTGGACTCTCATTCTGACGGCACCCATTCACTGCAGAGCAAGTGATGTAATGCAAAATTTCTCAAAATCTGTTCTGATGAAGAAACAAAGTCATCTACATCTTGGATGGCCTGAGGGTGAGTAAATTTTCAGCAAATTTTCATTTTGGGGTGAAGTATTTCTTTAAATATTTTGCCCAATAATTGTTTGGCCAACAATATCTTTAAATCTATTTAATATGTGCCATTATTGGCCTGAAATATATTGCACAAGTCATATTTGGGTGACGCGTAGGCCAAGTAACCCATTTGTCCTCTGTGTTTAACCCATCCAAGTTAGTGCACACACAACAGTGAGTAGTGAACACACACTTACACACACAAAGCAGTGGATATATGGATATTTGTATGATACTATTAAAATGCTTTTGCATCCTTTTATAAGCTTGAAAGCTCTATTATCACAATTTTAAAGAATATAACTGGTACAGTCATCTTTAAAAAATTCACCTCTTGTGTTCCAAGCAAGAGAAAAAAAAGTCATACAGATATGGAATGACATGAGGTTGAGAGTGTGATTGATTTTTGGGGTCAGATATTCTTTTAAAGGACACAGGTAAAAGACTGATTACCTCTCTGGAAATGATCTGAGGTTCTGCTCAATATTAAAACCGATGGCTACCGGATATCTTGTATAAACTGATAGGATATCTAGGAGTATTTGTGAAAACTGTGATGTAAAACAGATGTAGAATGGCAGAAAAAGCTACATGGAAAGAAATCATAATTGTTCTGTAAAATTGATGCTGATAATGTTCTTACCCCTTCATGATGACCTCCCACTTGCCTTCCTCTTTGGTGTTCATATAGTGGAAGGATCCAGTGTGGTAGTTTGGGTCTGTGCCCCCCATCACCAACTCTCCACCAGGGATATGTGTTGGGTCCCTTTTAGATACACACACATATACATCCAAAGATATGGCTTGTAATCAACTAGTACTGTTTAAATACATTTATTATTACACTATACAATAATGTAGTTTATAAATTAACATGCTCATATTAAATTCACAGCATATGTCAATAAATGCTGACACTCACCTGCTGTAGTACACTGAGAAGACGTTCTGTTTTAGAACATGTTGAGACATGATGTGATCGAACACAGGTGTGATTCCATCAATGGCTACATCTGGATATCCCATCCCTAACACTCCATCAAACTTGGCAAAGATGAACGGGATCGCAGGAAGAGCTGTGGCCTCTGCAAAAACCTGCACCACTGGGATACCACCCACCTAAAGAAGTTAGAGGTCAAAGGTCAAACAGCTCAATACTATGTGCAATTACACTTCTGGTCTTCCATACTGCAGTCAATTTGTTTTAAAATCAATCAGTATTTTGCCTTATTGTGGGTAAAATATTGTGCACAATCTGGACTTGGTTATCCGTTTATGTTTTGCTGTGCTTAACTTTTTATGGTAACCTGGATGGCTAAAAATATTTAGCCTGGGCCATTAAAATACCATTTCCATTATGTTGGTGAAGATATTCCTTTTGAACTCATTTCTTAACATTCCCAGTGTTTTACACTCTAAAGCCAATGGCTTTTATTTGTTACTCACTACAACCACGTCCTCGCTCAGAAATCCCCGGATGTTTCCAGAAGCGTACTGGATGGAGAATCCTGTGCCGTTGTAAATATGCGTTAGGGATCTGGAAGCATCGTACCTGTTGTGTGTGACTAAAGAGACATATGGAGAAAGGCAGACTGAGCTGTAGGAGAAAATATGCAATTGTAAAAGGTATGTGTAATACAATGACTTCTTAAGATAAATTGTGATTGCGTTTAGCAAATCACTCACAGCAGGCTGTGTATAAAGGAGAACAGCTTTGTGAAGGAACCCAGAGGTTGGCAGAACCCGTGTCAAACACAACATTGAACATCTGAGCTGGTGAACCAATACTAATCTCACCAAAGTATTGAGTCTGGAAATCAACAGAGAAATACACAATTAAAAATACAAAATTGTCTACATAAAACAGATTATTAAAAATACAAAATTGCTCATAATTTTAGTTCTTTTCCATTTTTAAGACTGATTTACATCTAAGTAGTTGATCAGAGGTGTTGGAGCTGTGCCGTTTGTGGGTGAAGGTTCGTCATATTTTGGCATAATCTCAGAAAACACTTGAGCTGGTGTGACACCCTTTTCCTTCAAGGTTTCTCGTATGGAGGGCATTTTCTTCAGTTTTACTCTAGTGAAGAGAGAAATGACTCATGTTACATTTATTATTTGTTTGTACAACTGATAAAACAGCAACATCAGCTAGTAGTGCGTTTTATCTGATTTTAAAATTATTTTTCACTATTTTTCATGATTTTTCGTCATTTCAGTTAATGACATAAATACAATCCCCACATGGCAAAAATAGATATTATACATTTTGTAATATATTTCAAAACTACTAAAATAGATTTTAAAATATATTTTTATATAGATATATTTTTTATAAATATATTTTTATATATATAAATATATTTTAATTACTTACATTTCCTCGTATTTTGGCCATTTTGAAACATTTTTAAGAATTAAAAAAACAAAACAATGGGCAAATATTACAGACTATTATGCTCAAATCAAGAGAAGCAGAAATCGTGATCACGATTAAACTAAAACCCTATCTGAACTGAACCAACACTGAAATGTCTTGAGCTAAATAACAGTGCTATTGCCTTTTAGAGCTAAATCTGAAATGTCTCCATAGTTGCATTTCCATAACTGATTTATACTGTTTTCCTATTTATGTCTGTAAATCTGCTTTGACAATCTGTATTGTACAAAAGCACTATAGGAATAAAGGTGACTTGACCTTCCTAAAATATAAAGGCAGCTATCTATTTTCATCTACAAAGATGCATGGGTCTGTATTAGAAAAAAAAAAAACATTGCATGATATTGTAAAGACAACATATTTCTCCAATTAAATAATTGGCTTTTGTGTTGTTGTATTAAAGCCAGAGCAAAATATTTGTTGTGTGGACTTACCTCCATAAGGCCTGTGTGCTGGTCACTGAGAGTGACAGGACTAGAAAAGACAAGCAGTGCACTTTCATTCTTACAGATGGATCAAATCACTTTAACTACCCGATAACTAGTGTGCCAAACGTCTTGTGCCCAGACTCCTTCCCAAACGTCTCTCCTCGTTTACTGTGCTTTATTTGACAGACTTTCCTTCTTCCCATGTTTTTATACTATTTCTCCTACGCTCTGTTCTGACCTTGACACAAGCCCCTGGCTTTGCTGTCCTTTCACCCCTCCTTCTGACAAATGCTCCCTGAACACAGTGACCTCCTGGCCAAGGGACACACATCACACACAGTGATTTAAGACCACTTCACTTAATAAAATCATCATTGTATGGACCTGAAGGATGCGGATGTATGGAAAAAACTGACAACAAACTGTGTAAATCATTAAAGAATATGACACATAAATATTACAATAGCAACATATCGAAGAGCAACACATATCTGTCATATAATATCTGATATTATACGACAGATGTGTGTTGCTCTACAATATATATTCCAGAACTGACGGTTTGTTTGTAAGGGCATGCAATTCTTAATGACTCTTGACCTTTCAACTTCGCCTAGAACTAGATTTCCCACAGTAATGGGTCAATCTCTTCCCCTGAAATTCCCTCATGGGACTCTCCATACATAGACGTCATCTTTTACATCTTCCTCTATTTTGCTGTTTGTCTTCCCTGGACTCATCTTTAAAGGTGTTTCAGTGGGTTGGTCTTTTTTAAGGACTAGCAGGTTTATTCCTCAGACTCCTCACTGAAGAAGATCAACTACACCTGCACAATAATTCCTGCCCACGGTGGCTAAAACTTACAGTAAGTAACATTAGATAGCCCTGGCAGATGCCCACTGGTTACATTATTTGACCTCAGAGTTCAAACTTGTTTTGCAGCTGCCATACAGCAATTGCCACTACTAACATTACATCTATATTTATATAAAAATACAGTAAGTGAACTTATAATCAGCTGTTGGATTCCATTCTATGCACTTCTTGGCTAATATAATGGTGCCATCACAATTGGTTCTTGACACTTGCTGGCGCTATTCAGCTAAACAGCTGCTCATGTTGGGCAGGCAGTGTTTGCACTTACCCTTTCTTCAACCACTAGGTGTGCCATTGGTGTACTGGAAAATAGTCTCACAGAGCATCAACTGATATGATCTTTTATTTACTACACCTTTATCTCATAATATTAATTAAAACTTATTTTGTGACAAAGCTTAAGTACTAAACAACAAACTATTATTGTGTTTTCTTATTGTTTTTTTCTCTCAGCCAACAGCCAACACAGCACATAATTTAAGGCAAACGGTGGCTAATGGGCTGTTGAATGGACAATGTATGAATCACATCTCAATTCTTTGGTCAGTCAGTTATTTGAGGAATGATGACAGAAAAGTAGGCCTACTACATGCTGTACATTAGGGAAATTCACATGTATGTGATTCACCACTGTTTTCATTAAAAAACTGAATCTGTTTAGCAGTGTGTGCGGAAAAATCATATCGATGTCGGGTAAAATGGCATTTTGATTGTCAGAAACAATATTGTGGCACTTTTTGCCGTGGTAGGTACAATATTCTTTGCTACTATGTTGATTCCTTCTTTAAGACACCCAATAAGAAAAGTACATAAACACATAATCTTCAAATGTTCGTTGAATCCTTTCAGGTTTGTATTCTACGACAACTTAATCTTCATTTTTTATTGAGCGACAGAACCACATCCGCTGTAGCATGTTCACTCGCTGGAGCTGGCGGAAGTGGACACGCGTCATTGGCTGTTGAGCTGCTCTTCAGAGCTGTGCTCGTGCATTCATTCAAACGGCTGAGTTCAGGAGCGCGCGCAAGGAAAGGGCTGATCTCCTTCGAGCTCAAATTCATGTTTCATCCGTCTATTCATGATTCTGTCAACTTAATGTAAAGGTAAGAAACGATTAAAAGCGTCCTTTTTTATATTTGGCCACCGCCAGCTGACAGCTTCGCCACAGCTAAACCGAACTAACCTTGTAGCAACTGAAGAAATAAGGCGGATGTTATGAGCTTATACAGATACTTCAGCAAATGAACCTTTGCTCATTTGTAGGCAACAGTTGCCACTATTACAATTACTAGAAAGTGCGTCTTGTAACGTGTCGCTAAAACCAAGAAAACCGTATTGTTTATTATGTTAGTTAGCACTGTGGCTACAGCAAACTGTTGACAAACTAACGTTAGCTTATAGGGTTTTGTCACTTTCAAAGTCTCCTTGTAAAAAGCATCTAGGTTTAGACATCAATGTATTTTTAATAACAATGAGCTTTCGTTGCCTGACCAACCCAATTGGTGTATTGAAATGAAGTATAATCAAATACTTCCTGCACTAATGTCAATAAACCACTAAATATAGACGCTTTGTGACAAAACCGGAACCTAAATCCAAAAATTGGCCCTGCTTGTGTTAATATGTGATTATGTGAGACAGAAGTAAAGGAAGAACTGTCCGTGTGTCTGTTATTTTGAAACGCTCAGTTTACGCTGTCATATTGGGTGCTGTTAAAGGGACCGTTCACCCAAAAATGAAAATTCCGCCACTATTAATGAATGGTGACTCAGACTGTCATTCTCCTTGTGTGTTGTTCAGTAAAAACAAAGTCATGTGGTTTTGGAATAGCATGAGGTTGAGTAAATGATGACGTATATTCTCATTTTTGGGTGATAATCCATGTAAAAACCATCATGTCATAAGATGACATATTGCCTGCCACCGTGAAAGTGCAGAAGTCTTTTAAAGGCAGGGTATGTGAATTTTAAAAACACTTTAGAAAACTGATTCGGGCCGGGGGTAGGGGCGTGTTTGTTTTGGTGATTTCAAATATCAACATTGGCTACCAGAAATCACTTACTCTGCCTTTAAGCTGCTGGAGTAAATCTCATTTGACTGTGTCCTGCTGGTCTGATGCGAGACCGTCTCATTGAATGCCAGATTAGTAGCTCTGATAATCTCATAATAATGTTACATCTGAGGTCTTTGAGCGGCGCGATAGGTTTTGAAGAAGCTTATCGGTTCGTCACCTTAGGACTGATAGGAATCTTATACACTTCACATTCAAAACCATGAATGTGAAAACTATAGTTACAGTAAGTGATAGTTCCTGTCATCATGCTGTTCCAAACCCATACTACTTTTTCTTCTGTGGCACAGAAAAGGAGATGTTTAGCACGATGTCAAAGCTGCTCTTTCCCAATACAATAAACTTATAGGGGATATGTGCTTAAAATATTATTAAAATGATCATGTTTCCAGTGATTTCCCAATTTGGCTAAAATGTTTTATTATATTACTATTGTAATATCACAGAAAAAAATAATCTAGTATTTTAGAGAAATTCTATAATAATAATAATAATTGCATTTTACATTACAACAAAAAAATTACGATACTAATATTTATGGCTGTCTTGATGTTTTTTTCATTCTTTCTTTTTTTTTAAATGGTAAGTTAAAGGGATCCTTTAAATCTTAAATCAACAGCTGGTTTATAAGTGCTTTTCATTCATCTTTATAGTTTCTCTATCATTCTTGGTGTGAACGGGCCTTGACATCTGTCTTCTCACAGACATGACGAGACAGGAGTGAAGTATCTGTTCTTGGCTGGAGCGTGAGGTTGGGCAGAGGATGCTGGAGGAGGGTGATGGAGAGTTGGAGGGGATCGGTGGAGGAGGAGGAGATGGGGGGCTTCAAGCAGAGGTGGAGAGGCTGGTGGCAGAACTCCAGGAAGCCAATGAGGAGAAGTTACAGGCTGCACGGTACGGCCTGGCCGTTCTGGAGGAGAGCGCTGCGCTGAAGATCAAACACAGCCAGCTGGAGGAAGAACATGAAGCCCTGAAGATGGAAGTGCAACAGCTCAGAGAGGTCAGTCAATAGAGAGCCAGAGATAAATAGAAGAAAAAGAGGGGTAGAAGCTTAAAGAAGCAAGTTTTGAGGAGCTTCTTTTTTCCAGAGAGTGATTCACAAAATGGTTTACTGTTGTAGAATTTGTAATTTAAATGATTCGTTATGGCATAAGTAAGATTATTTGTTGTCTAAATGTCTCTTGAATTTCTTTGGTTTCTTGCACACGACAGCCAATAATTCTGCACACAAAACATTTGTGGTCAGCACAAATCTTGTTTATTATTAAGGCAAGTGAACCTGTATCAAATGTCATCTGGGTCATATTTCCTATTACCTTGAGTAGTTTTGTTTATCATTTTTGAGAATGAGGGCATATCACAACCTGTCCAAGTTGGCTTCTGAGAACAGATAAATGTTTTCCCATTTTGGACACAGAACCTTTCACATCAAAGTTATAATAGTATGGGTTTCTCTGCTTTTTCCATGGTGACCCTATCAGAACAGACTTGCAACCAAATTTGTGTGCTTTTTTTTCCATAAAGAGATTTTGTCCATATAACAATCAAGCATTGAGAAGACATGTCTTTTAGCTGTTACACAGTCAGCTTGGGGAAATGTTTCACGCCCTTCTTCTGAAGCATTGTCTTCCCTGTGTGATTCATATCCTTGTAGTCTTACAGATGGATAGTTTGCATACTCAAATATTTTGTCTGGACAGTAGTACGCTTTACTCTCAGTGAGCTGTTTTCCCTGTTTGTCAGTGTCATGTAGAATTTGTAATTTCATTTTAGGTTGAACACTCAGTTTGGTTATGATGGCCTTGCCTAATAGCTAAATTTGCAAGAGCGTTTCCCTGCAGATCTTATGTAACAGCGTACAAATCAAAACTTGATATTTAAATGAAATGTTAATTACATAACATGGACACTTCTTTGGGACCCAGGTGTCTAACCAAAATTGGTTGGATATTTATATCCCTCTGCTTGACAGATGCAGGCACATGATGGCAACAAAAGAAAATGGTTTAGTTTTGATGATTCATTAAGCCAACAAAAAGCTTGATCTAGTGGCCTGTATGTAAGTATTTTGATAATATTTAATGGCTGAATATTTAATTATTGGCTGAAACAATAAATAAATTAATATCTTTGTCCCACCTCCTTGTCCTTGTGAAATATTAGCTGAGAGCAATGCAAAGACTTTCCAGATTGTCATTTCCCCATAAAATAACAAAAACAAAAAACTTTTCTTTTGCCATATTGGTTAGTGTTTGAAAATAATTTTAAATATTTTTTGAGAATAAGGGGGTCTTTTTAAAACATTGCTGTTTTGTTTGGACATTACCATTTTAGGACAATTTTAATAGAGCACTCAATGTTCAGCCAGATCAGTTTATGTGGTCCATCCATGGCCAAAGTAGAAAACAAATAGACTGTAAGCCTGGCATGCACAGGCCTTTTTAGCTCTCTTTGTTATCCGATTTATTACATAAATCTGTGCCCCAAAATCCATGCTTTAAGTCTTTTGCAATAATTCAAAATTAGCAACACATTGAGGGCATTATATGTGCACATATTATTGGTTTGCCAACTTCAGCTAATATGTCACTCATTTTTTTTATGTGAAGTTCACATGAGGCACATTGTGGACCCACCCCTCTGGTATGAAGATTAGGCTAATGTATTTCTCTCTCTGTGTGTCTGATTAGTAGAGCATGAAATTGGCAAAGTAGGTGAATGTGGTAGAGTGAGATAACTGGGGTGCACAGATTTGGGTCTAGTGCGCTAGAAAAAGCATGTGTGACAGTTGTAACATCCTAGAGTTGTACACATTGATTGCATCCGTCATTTCATGTTTAGTCCTCCAGGATTCTACTAATAAATATTTCTGTTGAATGAATAAATCTTTTTTCTGAAATGGTTCTCCCACAAAGAAACATTTACTGCATCCATATATTTTTCCAAACCAATATTATTTTCCTTACTATCCTCCTACATAAAAGGCAGAATGTGTTAGGCAGAATGTCTGAGCTGCTCTGTTCCATACAGTGGCTACAACAATAGTGTGATGAAGCCCAAGGCCATTGGTTTTTGTGTGTTGTTTAGATTTGAGAGCTCTTGTGATTAGCAGATTAGAGTTGTTATAGTAACTAAACCTAAAGCTATTGAAAAATGTTAACTGATAGAAAATAAAATATAAAAGAAACTTATTTATTTCAGCTAGCTTCCAAAGCAGCATTTCCCATTTACATTTAGTTTAATATATAGAAACTATAATAAAAATGACTAAAACTTTAACTGAAAAATGAAAATGGTAAATATGAATTAAAATATGAATAAAGGCTATAATATTGTCTCTTAATGATACTAGTGCGACACTGATTTGTGGTGAGTTACAGTGAATTTTTTGGTTCTTGTTTCTCACACAAAGCCATCACATGGCTTCAATCAGAACCATAGACCACTTTTGATCCTTTTGTGCATTACATTGGAATTATACTTAACCTTCTGCTTTTGTTGTATGGAATAGAGCTTCTGAGATATTCTAACATCCCCTTTTGTGTTTCACGCAAGGAAGTCATTTTGAGGGACATGAGGAAAAGCAAATCTTAATTTTTGGGTGAACTAGTCTTTTAAAAAAGCATGTCCTTCTTTTACATTTACTGAACAGAAGTATAAATTCACCTGAGGTATAAATTCTCCCTCTTCAGTCTGCCTTTCATCATTAATTATAGAGTAGCACAAGCATGGCTTTCCCACATGTTCTCACACGACTCAAATTATAGTGTTCAGAGAAAAGAGTGTGGCTATGTTAATGACAACCTGGCCAGTGTTGATTCATCTTATAAACGTTGAGTTCAGTGTGAGCAAATCTGGCGTATGTTTGTTACTATTTGTCCAAGTGCTAAAATGGCCAATAACACTTTATTTTAAGGTTACTATTATAATAACAATAAATTGTGCATAATTACATGCAAGTAAACCTAATCCTAACCATATAGTAAGTACATGTAGTTAATTAATATTTTTCAGTACTTTTAGATGTATAATTACACTGTAACAAGGACACCTTAAAATGAAGTGTAACCCAGCGGCCTTAGCATGAACTAAACGCATTGTAATTACACCCTCTGGTTGTTAGTAAAGCTGGAATGTAATGTAGTGTCATGGGTAAAGTATAGAGTTTCGCTTCGCTAGCTCTCAATACAGTTGCCATTGTTTATTGGCTAGGCGAGTAAACAAATTACTCAAAATAATTAAAGATTGACAACTTAATTTTCAACACCTCTGCTGTTCTCATTTGAAGAATTTCAGAAATTTGCACAAAGTAGCTGAGGGGCCATAAATTGTGTCAGCGTTGCTTGTTCATTTAGCCAGTGAACTAAATTGTTTTGTTTCTTCTTGGCCAAACCTCTGCTAGTGTAACTCAGTGTCTTGGCTATGATGGAGATGAGCGTTTGATTGATGTACAGTATGTGTATATGTTTACAGGCTCTGGCAGACTCTGTGAGCAGCCATAAGCGTGCAGCCGCAGATGGGGAAAGTCGAGAAGAGAGGCTCCTGCAGGAGTCGGCCACTAAAGAGGCAGCCATGGAGATTCGCATGGACGAGCTGCAGGCGGAGCTTAAACAGGCCCGTGTCATGCTGGCCAACACCTCGGCTGAAAACGAGCGACTGGCCGGCCTCTCCACCCAGCTAAAGAAGGTACATACACCACCATCAATCAGAAGGCTAGTGTTTACATAAAATGTGCATTCCTAACCACAAGACCAATGATCACCTTACTGCCTTTCTTATGTGAGCTGTACAATGAGATTCATTTTCTAAAAGAAGGAATATTTATGTGTAACAGAAAAAGGAAATGTTCTGAGCTGAAATAACATGCACTCTTCTGGCTCGCTTGCTGATCAAAGTAAAAGTGGAAATAAGACTCCATGTTTTCATGATCATGTGACAAAACCGGGTTGAGTTTCAATGTCAGCCTGAAGAGAAGAGAGGCCATTGTGAACTACTTATTGAACTATTGTACTGGACAAAACAAATAATTTCTACTTTTAAGTAAAGTTCTTTAATAATAAAATCTTCTCTGCCCTCTAATGAGAGATGAGTTGATTCCTATTCTAAATCGGCTTGCAGTTTCTGCAAAAATATAGTGCATGTGTCATGCCAGGATTGATGTCAGTGACTGCTTTCATTCAGTTTAATTGTATGAGAAAATGCACCTGGGACTGCTAAACTTCACCTTTTGTATTTCGAAGTAAGGTCTGGAATGAGATGTAAAATGTAAATCATGACACAGTATAATTAATTTTGTGTGAACTGTCCGTTTAGAGAATTTGTATTAAGTGGAACAAAGAGACCATAAACACTAAAGCTGCAGCATTTTATGAAGCTTCCATCATGTAATTGTAATTGTGCAGATCTAATTTCTCTTCAGTTTATTTTTATTTTATGGACTTCCTCTGTCTGACTACTCCTGCTGACTCTAGGAGTGTGAGTGCTTGGAGGTGGAGAAGAACCGAATAAGAGAGGAGATGAAGGAGTACAAGACTCGAGAGGTGCAGCAGCTTCAGGATAACAGTGAGCTGGAGGAGGAGAACATCTCCCTGCAGAAACAAGTCTCAGTGCTTAAGGAAAACCAGGTGTGTGAGAATGCGGATCTCATATTTAAGCATTGTTTGTGGTGTTGTTTTCTGTATTTATTGAATATCCAACTTTTTCCATAAATATTTCATAGTAACCCTCTGATGCAATTCAACATGTAACATTAATCACTTTCTTGTAGTGTTTGCTAGACTTAAGTCTTTGCTTGTGGAATTGCTTCGCTGGAGATGTCTTGTGACTTTGAATGTGTTTTTTGCAGCTGCTGTCACGGCAGTACAAACACTTCTGTTGTAGTGCTTCAGTCTCAGCTGATTTTTAACAAAGCCTTCCTTCTGAGGGACTGCACACGAGAACGGTTTTATTCACATCCCGCATGAATATTCACAGACACTCAGAGGCTGGAACGCCTTCCCTGTTGGACTAAAAACTGGTTTGCTCAGGGTGAATTCAGACAGTAAATATACAAATAAGCTAAGCTGAGATGTCCTTGACTTCAGTAACTAGACTAGTTATAGTGAATTAACTCAAAAATATGTCATGATGCCACTAATTCTGCCACCAATTCTGATCATATGCAAAGTTTTGGAATTGACACTGCAGTGTGACACTGTGTGAATGCTAACACTTGAACCTGTTTGGTGTTAAAGGAATAGTTCAGGCAAAAATGACAATTAGTTGAAATTTTAATCACCCTTTAATGTACTGTAGATGTTTCTTCATTGGAACAGATTTGAAGAAATTTAACATTACTTCACTTTCTCACCAGTGGATCCTCTGCAATGAATGGGTGCCTTCAGAATGAGAGTCCAAAAAGCAAAAAAAGAAGAAAAATCTACAAATTTGTTCCAAAGAAGAAACTAACTCACCAACATCTTAGATGATCTGAGGGTGTGAATTATTCTATTAAAATTGGTTTAGAGATATTTTGATATTAATGCTCCCAAAATGCATGGCATTAAACTAGTTATTCAGTTCTGTTGTTTATACACTGTGATATTAATATAAATGTGGGTGTCATTTCCTGGGTGAATTCAGAAAGTGGTGCAATAGTCCAGCAACGGCTGTGTTGTCATGAAGTGGATACAGATCTGGCTTTGTTTACTGTAATTTGTCATCTGTGTTCATAGAAATGGGATCTAGTTATCAGTCAATATTATGGTTATTGTTTGTATATTACTGTGGTCATTAGTTATATGATGCCAGATCAGTAAAGGCAGGCTAATCCAGCCTAATAAGTTAGTACTGTGCTGGTATGTTTTGGGGGAAGGGAGCTAGTGAGCTACATGGGATGCAGACAAGTAGAAAGTTTCAGTGTATGACTTCTTGTAACCCTAGTCAAATTGTTTGTTGGTCTTTTCATTAGGGTTTTTGTTGTTAACTAAAATTGCTAAAATTGTTTTCAGAAACTGAAAAAAACCCAAAAAACATTTAAATAGAAATATTAAAAGAAAGAAAATATTTAGTTAATTGTCATGGTAACAGTTTTTCAAATTAAAGTGCTAAAATTACTAAAATAAAACTGAATAAAACTTTAAATTGAATATATATATAAACTAATAAAAATGATAAAGGCACAATGATAAAACATTTACATTTGTGTCCACAGGTGGAGTTTGAGTCAGTGAAGTTGGAGTTGACCCATAAAGATGAGGAGCTAGAGCTGATGAGGGCACAGCTAGAAGAGGCCGGGCGTTTGAGGGAGATTGCAGAGCGTCAGCTGGACGAGGCACTTGAGGCCCTGAAAGAGGAGAGGGAGCAGAAGAACGGCCTGAGACGAGAGCTCGCCGCCCTTACCCTCAACCCCTTTGACTCTTTTGGCCACTTAGAGCTACAGCTGGATGACAGCCGGAATGGAGAGAAGGACAAGGAGGGAGGAGAGGAGGAGGAGGAGGAGGAGATGGACAGTGGGTATAATAACTCCAAAGGGATGGAGAGAAACAGGTGCTCCACACCCAGAAACAGCGGCGTGTTCCTCAGACCTCAGGCGCCTGGGCTGGTGGCCGATCTCCTGAGTGAGCTGCACCTGTCAGACAGCCAGAAACTCAAGCAGCAGCTGCTGCAGGTGAGGAAACCTGTTCACATTCTACATGCTCCTCACTTCATGAGCTGTTGCAGGATTTTCATATCAAAGCTTTCTGAGAATTATTTGTCTTGTGTTTTTGTGTTTTCCTTCCTGACCTTGTTTTGCATACACTGACATACAAATTTAACTTTGCAAATTGGGTATCCGATGCATGTCTTTCTTATTTGGACACTAGATCTGCACAATGTTGCATTGCAAATTCTACACTCAGCCACCTCGGCCAACCTGTAATATAGCAATAGGCACCATGAATCAGTACTTTTAAGTTAAGGTATGTTGTTAGGGGCGGAGACCATAAAACCCCCTTTTTTATGGTAATTTTAGAAAGCTGTTCTAAAATTACCATAAATCATGACAAATATATAACCCAAGTTCTCAGAAATGTACATCCATCAGTATGACATTGGTTTCATTATTCTTGAGAATGTTTATAAATCAGGGGAGCAAGTGAGGTTCATATTGGCTGATGTCAATCTCTTCAGATCTAATCTCAGACCAAAGATTAAAAGATTCAAACCCTGTGATGTAAATGCCTGTAAAATGGTCATGTGGGGTTTCTCATTTTTAACTCCGCAGTTTCATGCATGAAACCATCATCTGACAGATGAATACTACTTCCTGTTTCATACCACTTCCTGCTCAGATGTACTGTACCATCAAGTCAGTTACTAAGAAACAAGTGTTTTTCACCCACCCAGATAGTCCAGTTTTCTTTTTTTATTATTAAAATGTATAATCAATGATTATATTGATTGATTATAATGATTATTTTTAAGTTACGTTTTTGACTTTCTGCCCGTGTTGTATTCGAAAGTTAGGAGAGAGGGAATGGGAGTGGGAAAAGATACTGGGTTACTAAAAGTGCTTTGATTTTCATAATTTATGACACTTTTACTAAAACCCCCAAAAAAATGTAAACGAAATTTAAAGCCCTTTAATTGGCATAAATCATTCTAAAGTGGTCCTTCCTTAGAAGACTTAGTTCTAGTGTCATTAGTAAGTTTCTCTTGAGTGTTGTTGTTTATCCAAAACGCTTGGATTGAATTAGTCAATCGGAATAAATCTTCATGATACTTGTTTTTGAGAGCCCATATTGTTTGTGTACCTATATCCAGGTGGAGAGAGAGAAAGCCACACTGAGCAGCACAGTGCATGACCTCCAGCAGCAGTTATCCCAGTCTAAAGATGCTCTCAGTGAGCAACAGGTGAAGATGGAACAGCTGAGCCAACGTTTGGAGACCCTTCAGAGTACTGCCTCGAAAAGGCCTGCTGAACGAGAGAATGGAATGAGCCCGTCTCCCAGGCCTCTTCAGAACCAAGAAGCCGAAAATGGCATCAGCTACTATGAAGTGGATGCCAAAAGCACAGAGGTGCTAGAGTGCCGCATGCAAGTGGCAAATGAGGAGCTTGTGCGTCTGCATGAGGAGCTGAAAGAGGCTGGCGAACGCTCCAAAGCCCTGGAGGAGCGCTACAAGCAGGAGAAAGAACGCTGGAGGGGTGAGGCACAGGAACTCGCTGATAAAATACGACAGTGTATCGCTGCTAGCCGACAGGATCAGGAGCGAATTGGACAGTTAGAACGGGAAATTGGTGCCACACGACAGGTTGCCACTGACTCTGAAGGCCACCTCAGTGCTGCGCAGGAGGAGCTTCTGGCCTTCTCTGAGGAGCTGGCCAACCTTTACCATCATGTGTGTGTTTGTAACAACCTCACGCCCAGTCGCGTTACACTGGATTACTATCGTGAAGGAGCACAAGCGGGGAGAACGCACAACCATTCGCAGCCGCACCACTATCGCAGATCCCTCCGCAGGCACAGGCGGTCGGGTGAAGTGTTGGACCTGGGCAGTGGAGGAAGCGGAGACACATCATCTAGCTGCGGAAGTTGTCCAGGGTCTCCTACACTAGACTTCAGGGACCCAACCAATGTGCGCAATCTGGTAGCTGTCATACGATGCCAGATTAAACATTTGCAGGTATGTCTTATGTAATTTCTTATTCACTTTTCATTTGTTTTCCCATTTCACTTTAATCGCAACAGCCTTAGCTTTTGTTTTAATTGCTCCCTTATGTTGAATTTAGGGGGCATTTTGGTTCGTCTTGATGGCATTTCTGCCCAAGTGCCTAATTTCCAACCTGGTTTCAGCTCTTTATTGTAGTTATATAGGGCCCTATGAAATGCATTTTATTTTTTCACAAAGTCAGTTTTTTTATTTCCTAATTCCGTTTTTTTTCTCCACTTTTAATTTTTATGGATTCCATTTTTTCCATTTTATTTTTTCTAGACTCCAAATGGTTACATTACATTTTATCTATCAAAATGCATGCCTAATTAATTGAAATCATGAAACTTACACAATGTAACTGCAAAAGTTTAACAAAAATTTAATTTTTAAGGCCTTATGAAATGCGTTTTATTTTTTTCTGAAATTTAGTTTTATTTTACCAAATTCTGTGTTTTCCATTAATTATCTGGATTCCATTTTAATGGTTTCATCAAACTTTTATTTATTTTTTCCAGAAATACTGTATTGTGTATTTACATTTTTCTGGTCATTAAATTCTGGTAAATATTCCTTAAAATAATGTTTTAATAATAATTTTATTATAGTACTATCATTACATTAGGCTAAGTAATATATTTGTCACAGTTTCTTCAAGTTAAACCGAACTTTTATTTTGATGGGTTGTTTAAGTTTCTCTGTTTATATGATATGATATGATAGATTTTCTCAAAGAAACGCTCACGAAGTGACTCTCAGAGCAGTTTTAGAAATTATGTTCATGTTCATGTACTCGGCAGAGGCTGAAATCACCGCAAGCATCATGCGCGCTTCATTATGTGTAGTAAATGAAACCATTCGTCTGTGCCATTCATTCAGTCACACAGAACATGCAGGATTCATATTTAAATATCGTAGTATTTTGCGGCTTAATATTCACAGACACTAGTCCATATACATTTTGATTTAAGTGTACTGACCTACTTTTGATTTATTCATCCAAAATTCTGCAAATTCTTTGACATTCAACACGATACAGTAAATTCCATTTTTATGGCTGGATTCCACGATTCGGTCCGTGTTTTCTGCAATGTGGAAATCATAGGGCCCTGTAGTTAAAATTGAAAGGTAATATAATATGGTAATATAAGAAAGTGTACACACAACAATTCTATATTGTAATGTATCCTAAGATGCTCTTTAAATAAGGATAGCTGAATAAAGTTATGACTGGAACATTGGAACATTTCATTTAAGCCTTTAGGCAGCTTTTTTTTGGAGAGGTAAAGCATGAACTATGAACCGATTAGACCAGGCTGCCTTAGGATGCCTGCCTGAATCTGTTTTAACAACAACATTCAGATTATAGCTGCACTTTTGCTTTGTCAGCTCAAGAAAACAAAATAATGTTGAAATCATGGCAATATCAGTATCTAAATCTGTTTTCTTTATTGGCATTTTTGACTTAATTTTCAGTTTTTATACTATGATCATAAATATTGTAATATGTATGTCATGCATTTTATATTGTGTTGTAATTCACTTTGTCTAGCTCTTTAGTCACCATGTGCTATATAAGTACATTTTTACTTCTTTTTGAAACGTTTCCAGGTGGTGGTGGACCTGTGCAGGCAGCGTAACCTGTTGTCCTCTCCAGCAGCAGGAGGGAGCACTGAATCAGACCGTGACACAGAGGCACTGATTGAGGAGGTGCTAAAACTGAAGTCCCTCCTGAGCACCAAGAGAGAGCAGATAGCCACGCTCAGAACTGTCCTAAAGGCCAATAAACAGGTACAGATGTTAGATATTTATTTATTTATTGCCAAACAATGTAGTTGTCTGGAATTCCTTGGTGAGCTCAAACACAACTAAGACAAAAACAAAAAACAATCACATTCGTACATACATAAATTATTCCAACCATTATAAAGAATGAAATACAGATGCATAAGTGCCAGAAGAGTTTAAAACATGGAGCATCCTACAATAGGCACTGTTCAAAAAGCATGCAGACTTAATTTTAATTCCTCTAAGTCATCTTCCTGAGGGTAAAGGAATAAAAAAAATGTCTGGCCGGATGTGTGGGATCTCTAAGAATTAAGCCTTTTCTCTGCAAACGTGAGACATAAATGTCATCAATGGTGGACAGATCACAGCCTATAATATGTAACGCATTGAATGCATACTAAATAATAAAAATGTAGCCTACTTAAAGGTCTAGTAAAATTCAAATGAATTTTTACATTTCAGCCCTGCTTTTCAGTTTTATTTCTTATCAATATAGTAGCCAGTTTAAATATTTTAACAGGAAATGTACATTGTCATTGACAAGGATGTCAGTAGGTTTCAGAGCAGATACAAAAGTGACCAACATTTTTGTTTAATCAAGTGAGAATCATTAATAACCATTGCTGATACTCTTTAAATGGCCAAAATAAGATGTCTAGGCCAAAATTGTTTGAATAGTTGTGTGAAATGTACCATATTTTACACTGCTGTTTGGAGAATGTTCCTAACTCGAGCACATGGTTTCCTTAAATGTTAATCAGATCATATGACTGCTTTACTATTTTTTTTTTTCCTCAGACAGCCGAGTTGGCTTTAACCAACCTGAAGACAAAGTACGAGACTGAGAAGTGTATGGTGACAGAGACTATGATGAAGCTGAGAAATGAACTGAAGGCCCTGAAGGAGGATGCAGCCACCTTCTCCTCCCTTCGCGTCATGTTCGCAAGCAGGTATGATGGGATTACACATGCGTCAAGTGCTTTGTGTGCTCGCGGGCCATGAGAGCTTCTCAGGTCATTGTCCGTACAGCACATAACTCATTTCCAGTGAGGGATGTTTGGGATTTTAAGGTTAAACTAGTTGTTTGTAAACTGGTTTGATTTATGGACAGAGTGCAAATAAGTTCATGGGAGAAGTTGGTTCTCTCAGTTCCAGCTTTCCCTTGTCAATTGAGGAACAACCGATCAATTTTAGTTATAATTTTTGCTGACGGGTCATCTTGGGCTGTCTGATAATACATAAATCATCAGCTGACCTGATGTAAAGATTTATAGACTTTTTATTCACAGTTCAACCCTCACTGTGGTGAAAGAGATGCAGGCATTGTTTGTTTACTTTTGTAGAAAGTTTGAATAGAGAGTCATAGAGATTAGACAGTCATGACCCTGTTTTAAGAGCAAGCTAATAAGATTATAATCTCAAGGCCCGGTCTCTCACGAGCTCTCTGATCCCGTGTGCAGACGAGAGCAGCTCACTCAGAGCTCAAGTCATAGATCAAGTGTCAAGGGAACAGAGAGCAGTGGAAGTGAGGATAAAGTTTTCTGTAAAAGGAAAAATCTAGACCTCCTTAGAACATTTATACAAACTCATATGGTATGAAACATTTCATCTAGAATAATTAAACCTGAGATAAATGCAGATTTTTAAGATTTCAACCAACTAGTGGTCGACCGATATTGGTTTTTTGACAGCCGATGCCGATATCTTGGAAAGCAGGGTGGCTGATCAGTGGGCAAATGCATAAAGCACAGCATAATTTAAAATCACGAGTTTAAAGTTTGTTGATCACGCATCTCCAGTGAAGCTGAACTCTCCTCCTGTCCGCATTACATTCGCACAGATCGACCGTCACGCAGAGAACACGCGATCATGCAGGATACAAATGCACACTTCACAAGATCTCACAACTGGATACGACTAAGTTTGCAAGGTTTTTGAAATTAGATGTTCATTAGACATTCCAAGATTTGTTTAAATGATATAAATGCATATTTGCTGAATGCTGACGGCAAACAAGAAAGTATTATAATGTTTGCCTTTCTATTACTAATAATATAAAAGCAATCGTTATAATACTTTTTGTATACATTTTAATT